TGTCACCAAAGTGCTGCTCATAGGGGGTCATATGATTGTTGGGTTTTTCTCTGTATCTATGAAGCGCCTTGAGGCGACTTTTGTTGTGATTTGGCGCTGTGTAGATAAAGCTTGATTGAAATGTTAAATTGACACACACACAGTGAGGCTGCTCATCTTCAGACTCCCCCTGTGAGTTTTATCCACAGTGGGCTCGTTTGCAGGCCGAGCTGCAGCGCGCTCACATGTGGTTTGCTCACATTATGAAGAGTTTAATGGGACTGAAGCTGTGATGAAGAGATCAGACTGCAGTCGTCCCACTGACGTGATTAATGCTGCAGCCTGACCTCGTTAATGTTTTCATGTCTTTGGGCTTTACATGCTTTTATTTTGTATTTGTCGACTTATCGCTGTGACTTTGTGTAACTAATGTCGTGTTTGGCAGCGTCGGAGGTGTGGACGCCCTGAAGATCGAGGAGATGGAGAAGATGCTGAAGGAGGCGCAGCTGGAGAAAGCCAGACTTATCGAATCGCGGGTAAGAAGCGCCGTCACAAGTGCTGCGGCGTTCGCTGATGATCCTGAATCCATACTCGCTGAGCGATGAGTTCTCGCAGCGCTCCCGTCGATAACTCGCATTTTTTAAAAAATCAAAAGTTCCTGACAGCAGAGCTGCTAATTATTTTATTGGACTTTGCACATCTTTGTTTGCCTCGATGAAGCAGCTCAATGATCCATCCATTATCTTCTGTTCTGAGTCTGACTGCGAGCCAATTAGGAAGTCTCACACAAAGGCCGAACGAGAAAAACAGTGAGCGCCTTTGTTTCTCACCGTCGTAGTGCTGCAGTGTTTTCGTCTTCCAGTCTGCGTCGATGCGTTGTGTGTGTCTGCCGATCATTACGCTGAGTTTGGTGTTTAAAGGAGCTGCGCGGTGGTCAGCAGCTCCCGGCGGGACCCCATGTACATAAATGTATGAAGAGCGAACACGTGCGCTCTGCCAAACCCTTCCACAGATCACAAAAAATATTTAATGAAAGCGCTGTCCGCTAGGAACGGGAGAGCCTGGCTCGCCGTCAGATGCTCGAGGAGGAGAGGCGGAGGAGGGAGGAGGCGGAGAAGAGGCTGCAGGACGAAACTTTCCACCGGCAGCAGCTGGTGGAGAAGGAAGTCAAGATGAGGGCCAAGAACTTCTCTCAGGTCAGTGGAAGCAGGTG